TTTATTCAGCGAGAGCCTATTCATTTGTGAGAAAAACCTTCAACAAGTCCTTACCGGCTTTAAGAACCATATCAAGATGGTACAGCACTGTTGACGGTAGACCTGGTTTCACTGCAGAAGCCCTACTAGCTCTAAAATTAAAAACCAATGATGGCAGAAAACAACTGCTATGCAATCTTGTCATGGATGAGATGTCAATCAGACAACAAGTGGAGCTGAGAAGCGGTGGAGGATATACTGGTTATGTTGATATCGGCAACCATATGGATTCAGACGAATTACCAGAGGCAACGCAAGTGTTGCAATTTATGCTGGTTTGTCTAAATGAAAACTGGAAAATTCCAGTAGGGTACTTTTTGTGCAACGGAATTTCTGGATCAGAGAAAGCCGAATTAGTGAAAAAGTGTTTGGAATTTGTCGATCCATCAGGTATTATAGTGACATCACTTACCTTTGATGGAGCTTCATCCAATATTAGTATGGCGCAAAATCTTGGTGCCCAATTGAGCAATGGTGAAAATCTGAAAACCAGTTTTAAACACCCTGTGACAAATGAAGATGTTTTTATCTTTTATGATGCTTGCCATATGATTAAATTAATCAGGAATTGCTTTGCAACATTCAAGGTGTTAAAGAATCCTAGTAATGATAATATTAATTGGGATTTTATTACCAAATTAGTGAACAAACAAAATCTTGAGGGTTTGCATGCAGCTACAAAAGTTCGTTTGAGGCATTTGCAGTGGGCAAATGAAAAAATGCGGGTTCGTCTTGCCACTCAAACTCTAAGTAAAAGTGCCTCGGACGCTCTTCTTTTTCTATCAAAGGATTTAAAGTGCCCTGATTTCAAGGATGCTGAACCAACAGCAGACTTTGTGTTGAAATTCAACAATCTGTTTGATATTTTTAATTCTAGATCCAAATTCGCGAAGTATTTTTATAAACGCCCGTTATCTCCTCAAACCACTGAAAAAAAGTTTCTTCCTTACATGGATTCACTCAAAAATTATATTTTAGGAATGAAGACAGTAAATGGTGTTTCTGTTTTAAACTGCTCCAGAAAAACTGGGTTCTTAGGATTCCTCATTAATATCCAAAGTTTGAAGGAAATGTATCAAAAGTATGTGATTGAAGAAAAAAAACTAAAATACATTACAACTTATAAACTTTCACAAGATCATCTTGAGCTCTTTTTCGGTGCTGTGAGGAGTAAAGGCGGTTATAATAATAATCCCAGTGCCCAATACAATACGAGGCTGCTTACAAACGCTTGATTGTTAAAAGCGAAATTTCTGGTCCCGATTCAGGGAATGTTATCAATTTTCAAAAAGTAGGCATCCTTACTTGTGGTTCTGGGACTATATCGAAGTCTGAAGGTGAGGACAATTTGGAGAATCGTGAATCATTTGCCAATTTGGAGAGGGACATCCAAACTACCATTGAGAGAGACATACTTGAATATGGTTTCTTTGATTCTCCTAATTGGGATCTAACCTTATATACTCAAGATATTGTAGGATATATTTCTGGATTTGTTGTTAAAAAATTAAAGGCAAGTATAACCTGTTTGAAATGTTTGGAAATAATTCAAACATCGGAATCTCCTCTAAGTAACTTGCAAGTTCGGAAATCATATGGCAAGCTAATAAAAGCATCAGATTTCGTTATTGAGATTTGTAAAGCGGCTGAAAAGTTTTTTAGGTTTTTTTCAAAAACAAATAGTATTTTTAATAAAAATATTAAAGATGTATCATCAATATTAATATCTAACACTATGAGGACTTTATCTTCTTCAATTTTTGATTATTTTGGAGATCATCTCTTTGATGGTGGTTTTATTGATGGACATGAAATGGTGTTACCAAAGATGATTTTGAAACATTATTTTAAGTTACGAATTTTTCATGAAACATTCAAAAAGTTAGAAGCAATCAGGGCAAAAAAACCCCGAATTCGCAGTCAAAAAACAAAACTGATAACGTTTCAAAATCAATAAATTGTGGTCAATTCTTGGAACAATGTAAATATGTATATAATTTTTTCTATACTTAGGTATGTAATTTTTGACTTTATATTTTTCTTTGATATGTAATTATTTTTGTTCAAAGTTATACTAGACCAGTACAATGTATTCTAATACCCGTATTACATCTGTGTATTTTTCCGTGTATTTATTCATGTAGTTCAGGGTGCCAACATTATTTTGTTTTTCATAATGCTGATTTATGTTGCGTTTGAAGTTTTTCGGTTGTCACCCTGAACTACATGAATAAATACACAGAAAAATACACAGATGTAATACGGGCATAAGAGTGTATTATGCAACTGTTTTGCAAAGCATTGAGCTTGGTATTTTGAGCTAGTAAATTTTTAATTATATATTATATATTTGTTTATTTCCTTTATTTATTATATTATGTTAAGCTGAGATGGGATTAATAGATTATAGAAATTTGAATTTTTTGAGAAATGTTCATAAAGTATTTTATTGCTGGTGACATATCGAACCAATAGGTGCCTACATAAGTATTGCATTCAGCTTAAAATGTTTAATTACTATTATAGTCTACACATCTATATATTATATTTGAACAATATATTGATATTTCTTGTATTAAAAACTTTCTTTTATTTACTTTTGCCTCTTATCGCCTTGTGCCCAAATTGAATAGTTATAATTTAATCTTATATGGTACAGAGTGATCCATTTAAAAAAAATGACCTGACAGAATTTGAGAGATATCTTTGCATTTTTGTAGTACAATAATACCTAAGGTGACTTTTTATCCCAAAGCAAAGTTTGCAACCTGAGCAAAGCGAGGGCTACAATTTGCTGAGGGATAAAAAGTCACTTTACTCATGTATGTATATGTATACTACATTTTGCACTTATTGTATATTCATTTTTATTTACAATTAGAATTTGGTTAGAAAAAAATAAATGGTCGTTTTAAATTAGGTTTTCAGTATATTTCTTGAAATTTATAATTTTCAACACTAAATTTCACCTCTCCTCTAATTTTATTTCAGTCCCTGAAATTTCATTTTACTCCCCCAAATTTATTTTAGTCCCTGCGAGAAATGGAAAGTCTAATTTCTACCTACCAATTGACACCTCAAAGTTTTTTTAAATGTTAAATTTTCAACTATCTAACGGTGAGATGTATATAACTCTACACAAAATATTTTTAGAATTTTTTGTAGAATCCAAGATTTTAATATGTATAACCCATGAAGAACCCATGACATGTCAGAATTTTACGAAAATGTTTGTACAGGGTGAGTCACCATATTTTGACACCCACCTGCAGCCGTAATTACAGGTGATAGGTGAACGGTGTAAATACATAAGTTGTAGTATTTCATCTGAATCGCCAGAATTTTAAATTAGATTGTACAAATGAGTAACAAAAACTGGAAAAATATGTCATTGTTCACTTTTTTCAAATGGAATGCCCTCTATTTTCTTTCAAATTCTTAAAGTTCTCGTTTTTCTGATTCAGATTATATAATATGTTAGTGTTTCTTTCGATAGTTTTGGAAATATCTGGAGTTTAATTATTCAAAGAGAGTAGGTAGTTTTTTGAATAAATTTCACCTTGATTTACCTGTAACCTGTCGCAAAACATTGTGATACGTGAATAGATCTTTGAATAACTAAACTTCAGATATTTCTAAATTATTGAAAGAAACATCAACATATTATATAATCTGAATCAGAAAAACGAGAACATTAGGAATTTGAAAGAAAATAAAGTGCATTCCATTTAAAAAAAGTGAACATTGACATATTTTTCCACTTTGTCTTGCTCATTTGTTCCATCTAATTAAAAATTCTGGCGGTTCAGATGAAAAGCTACAACTTTTATATTTACACTTTTTACCTATCACCTGTAATTACGGCTGCAGGTGGGTGCCAAAATATAGTGACTTACCCTGTACCTATTTCATGCAAATATTCCTATTAAAATCAATGAAATGGTCTAAGGCAAAAAGTGCTTCACACTGTTTTTATTAAAAAATATTTACATGGAATACAAAAAATTTCATTATTTGCCTATTAAAATTATTTGTTACTATCCCATAACTCCAAAGCTAACTACGCCTATGGTCGGCGGCTGATGCCAACAACGCCAAACAAGCCGGCTGCAGTCTTCTCCCACCACAACAAATCATTGGCTGCACTCATTGATAATTTATTCTAAGCACATTCTAAGCGTTTGTTGATGTAAAGTTGCACTATTTGGTGATTTATGAATGACTTGTCCTGTCTCTACAGAATGTAGGTATATAGTCTAAGATTCGAACCGAAACCGCCATGGATTTTGAACGCACTCCATGCAAATGCATCAGAATGCGTTCGAAATCCTTGGGGGTTTCGGTTCGAATCGAGAGTTCGTAATCCGCCCCACTGTATCTCGGTGTATACCCAATGTGACCCAAAATCCTGGAATTTAAAATGTGAGTATACCAAATGCGGCTTAAAATCCTGGATATTACTATTTTTCACGAAATTGACTTTAAACCCGACAATGACTCAACGTGTGTTATTTGTGTAGGTGTCACACTTGAAAATGTTGCGTCTTGGTAGGGCATCCTCTAAAATGCACACCTCACAAGAAATGTATTTAAACACTTCGGAAGTGAGTAGGTTTGTTCCACAATTTTTTTTATAGGATTGCATTTGTGAAAAAAAAAATTATTGCATTGAATCGGTGTGGTAATAGACTAATTTATTATTATTATTATTATTATGTTATCGGTGTAGTAAAGGCTCAAAAAATAAAACAAACTCCTGGAATAAGCTTTGAAGATGTGGAAGAGAGTATAACATTAAAAAAGGTAGACCTCTCTATAAACATCAAAAAGACATTTGAATTAGGCCATTCAAAGTTGGTTTATGTATACATGAAATATTTCACAAGTGTATTTCTATTATGTTTGCATTGGTACAGTAAATAAGTAAATACAAAATCAAACAAAATTAGATGACAACATACCATCAGTTCCGCTGCTGATCGCTTCAGACTGAGCCTGTTCCTCATCCATACTATTTTCAGCAGCTTCCCGAGCTTCCTCAGTCTCACCGTGGCTTTGATTGGGTACTTCACTGGAATCTGATATTACTTCCACTTCATTGTCGGCCTCCTCTTCATCTTCGACATCTTGACAGTCGTCGTCGTCATAGTTGTCTGGTTCCTAAAAAAGATTATTTGCACATACTTCACAACATATAAAGTTCATTTAATGATGATTTGATATGTTTAATCTAAAGTTAGATAAGCTACATAAAATCCCGATATTCACTAGTTTTTGTGGGTTGGATAGTTGCTATATAAGGGTTCAAAGCACTTTTTGTCCTCTTATACCATTACATCAAATACATTTTTTATTTAGCATCATGTACTTACCATGCCTTCCTCCATATCATCGTATACCTCAGCTTCGTCGGGCTCGTCCTGATCGTCGCACTCGCCTTCGTCAGGAATAGCCTCGTCGTCACTTTCCAGTACAATAACATTATCGTCATCTTGATCACGCTGGCTACTAGTCGGCACTTGGTATTCCACTTCCAATCCACTGTCACTCGCCTGCTGAACAAACCCATAATTATTTATACTGCCAATAATTTAAACAATTTTTTGAGTAATTACTGAACAATTTATTTAACATGAGTATTCACCTGTAATCGAGTCCGTTTACTCTGTTGCTTGATCGCATTTTTCTCTTCAGCTTGACAACTATCCGTGTCCGAGTCCCTCTGACGCTTCAGACCCGCCTGCGTCGTGGTCACAGTGTTCGAGCTACTGGAACTGGTACCCTGCTCCTGTGTGGCGCCACCGCTTCCACTGCTGGGCGGTTCTACTCTAGGCGACACCACAGCCAGAGCTTGTTGCTGTGTTGGAGCGGCCTGGACCTGCATATTGCTATCGTCGTCTTCCGAAGACTGGGTGGGTGGCACGGCAACTTGTCTAGGATTCAACATCGGTGAACTGGCCGAGCTAGTGGCTGGGACGTAGTCGGTGTGCGAGGATGTCGGGCTGCTGCTGCTCAGGGCTTCAATCGATGACGAACCCGTGGTATGTACCTAATTTTGAGAGAGGGTGTTCAATTTTTTGCCTATTTCATTAAATGAATCAAAATCAACTTTGGCTAAGGTTGTCAAAAAACTTGCAAAAGCCTTCATTGATAGATAATCAGGCCTAGGATGTATCCCCTCCTGTTATTTTAACAGCTATGTTATAGCTCAACATCTATACCTCTCTCTATTTTGATGTATATAATGAACAGTGACAGACAACTTAACGTTGCTGTTAAAATAACAGAAAATGATACATCAATATATAATTTTCTGTTATTTTAACAGCAACATTAAGTTATCTGTCACTGTCTATTCTACACGTAAAAATAGAGACAGTTATAGATTTTGAGCTATAACGTGAATTGACGTGTCTCGTAATACCAGGTGTGGGCGCGCAACTCGTGGGTTGCAGGTGAGCGTCCAATGAAAATCGAGTTTGTTATGGGCTTGCGTCATATTCGTATTCAAGGACGAGTTCAGAATTAATCGTTCCTTCTTTCTTTGTAACGTGAGTTCGACAAAGAGCAAACTAATACTTTACATATTACTTGAACTTATCGCAGTGTCGTTTAAGGTTATGTTAGATTATACAAGGTGTCCACAAAGGGTAGGGGGTATTTGTAAATTCATTAAAAAAAAAAACCACATGTCAGAAAAAAAATATATTTATATAAGTTTTTGGAGAAAGTTTTGGAGATTTAAGTAGCAAAGATTATGTTGTCCAAATGTTGACCCTCGCGCTGCTGGCACTCCTCTAAACGAAAACGGAAATTAGCCGCCACGCGTCTACACATCTCTCTGGGAATGGCGTCCATTTCAGTTCTGATGTTGTGCTTCAATTGCAGTAGAGTTCGTGGTGTGTGTGCGTACACTTTCTGTTTAAGATATCCCCATAAGAAATAGTCAAGGGGTGTGAGATCGGGGCTTCTAGGAGGCCAGTTGATGGTGCCTCGACGAGAGATCACTTTTTCTGGGAAAAGTCGATTGACAGCCGCAAGCGATTGGTTGGAAGTGTGGCAAGTGGCCCCATCTTGTTGGAACCATGTTTCCACATTAAAGCCTTCAAACTTTTGTAATTGTGGAGCCAAAAAGTCCCGTAACATGACGCAATACCGTTCACTGTTTACCGTAAGTGCTCGCCCTCGCCGATCTTCAAAAAAATACGGCCCAATGATGCCTTCACCAGACATGGCAGCCCACACGATAACTTTTGGACTATGTAGTGGTCGTTCATGTTTCTCTCTTGGATTTTCGTTGGCCCAGTAGCGGCAGTTTTGTTTGTTTACGTGCCCGTTCAAGTGAAAGTTCGCTTCGTCACTAAACAGAATGTTTTCAAACGTTGGAAACCTTTGAAGCATTTCATTTGGAAAATTCAGTCGAAGAGGATAGTTGGTGGGTTTCAGTTCCTGAACGAGCTGAATTTTGTAGGCTGTAAGATGTAAATCTTTCTTCAAAATGTTGTGCAGCGACGATTTTTTAATGTCAACTCCTTGACTGCGTTTCCGAATTGATTGAGAAGGATTTTGTCGCACTGAAACTCTTACTTGTTCAATCGCTTGTTGAATTTTCACACTCGAACCGGTATTCTCGAACATTCGAATCCATTTTCTGATGGTATCGTCTTTCGGTGCATTCCGTACATTAATGACAACATGGCCGCCGACAATAACACAAGTGAACATAAAGTGTTGTGCAAATATTGTAAGAAAGATGTTATTAATTACGTGAAGTGCTGTAAATGTGATGAATTCTTTCATCCTAGCTGCTTAGTGCAATCGGCGAAGTTGAAAAATACCCAATGTGTTCACGAAACCCAACAATCAGAGCCACCAACGAGCGAGGCTGGAGTTGAGGTTAAGGCTGATGTAAACAACCCATATGTAGTGGAAAACAATCTCCTACTTCGAATTATTAAAGAAATGGAAGAAAAATATGATATTTTGATGGAAAACTGCAACCTATTAAAAGAAAAAGTCAGTGTTCTCAAGGAAAAAGTGAATGGTTTTGAAGAGAAGGAAAAACAACAAGGTGTGGCAACATCGGTATCCGGTAAGGATGCTTTTGTTGACATATCGAATGCGACCCCACCAAATGCGTCATCATCATCGTCGATCGAAAGTAGAGATGGGCAGCAGGGCCAACGAGTGCAGCAACATAAATCCGGAGTACTCTATAGTCAGAAGGTACGAAATCCGAATGAAACCAACAAAAATGTCATTGTCAAACGTCAGTATCAGGACTTACAAAACATTCCAGCTGATGCTGTGAAGTCTGCCATTGCTGAAGCAATAACAAAAACAAAAATAAATGAAATTAATGAACTTGGATCAATGGATAATCATAATGAAGTAATCAAGGGAGATGATAACGGCTGGCAAAAGGTTAAGGCAAGATCCAGACGCCGTTTTATACGGGGTGGCAACTCCTCCACCGATGAACTGCAAGCCATACCCAGCTGTGTTTCACTTCATGTAACCCGTTTGCACCCCGATGTTACAGCGGCTAAACTGGAAAATATGCTAAAAGAAGCTTTTTCCGAGGTTAAATGCGAGAAACATGAATCGAAAAGGCCTGAACTATACTCCTCGATGAAAGTCACAATCAAACAGAGCAATTTTGGAAAGGCATGGAGGAAGGAAATTTGGCCTGAAACTGGCGAATGGTTCCGATGTCAATCTGTGCGTACATATTTTTTATGAGATTTTATACAACATATTTGAGCAGTGCGTTCCGAAGAAGAAAATAGGTAATTTCAACAAAAATTTTCCAAGATGGTTCACAAAACAACTTAAATCATTTAATTAATTAATTAAATCAAAAGAAACACTTCGCCAAAATGTCAAAAAAACAATCTAAATTTAAAGCAAAATATAGGGAAGAATACTGTAAGCTAAGATTAAAAACAAAAAAGCTTATTAAAGCTGTTCGTTCTCGATTTATAAGAAATACTGAACAAAATATTACTCATAATGCTAATATGTTCTGGAAATTTATCAAAGAAAAGAGGCAAAATAGTAATATTAGTTATACCTATACATATCAAGGTACAGATTTTACTAATGAAAATTCTATTGCTAATGCGTTTGCTCAATTTTTTCAAGATATGTACTCAGACAGTGGCTTGTCGCCTAATGGTAATACTGATCGCCCAGTGGACTATGCTTTGGATGCTTGGCACTGTTACTGTTGATGATGTTTCAGAGGCAGTGAGAAGTCTTAAACCCAGGGCATCTGCTGGGGTAGATGGAATACCACCATATTTTTATAAGGCTTATCTGAACATTTTACAGATCCCTCTGCAAATTCTAGTTAACAAATCTATGGATACCAATTGTTTTCCTGATCATTTGAAGATTGGTCGTATAACACCGATTCACAAGAATGGAAATACACGTCTCATTGAGAATTATCGTCCTGTGACTGTTTTGCCAGCACTGTCGAAGATTTTTGAGAGAATCATACATACTAAAATTGGTAAATATGCAGTATAGCCCGGTCACCTAAAATGGTATTTTTTTGAATAAGAATCGTTTGTTTAACGTTCAAATAGTGCATTTTGAAGAAAATTTTTGAGCGGAAATCTTTAATTTAAAAATTACAAATTAAAATTATATTGAAAATACTCAAAAAAATTGGTATTTCAGGTGACCGGGCTATACTGCACTTTATCCCCTAAATAAATATGCAGTATAGCCCGGTCACCTAAAATAGTATTTTTTTGAATAAGAATCGTTTGTTTAACGTTCAAATAAAGCATTTTGAAATGAATGTTTCAGCGGAAATCTTCAATTGAAAAGTTAAAAATTAAAATTGTACTGAAAATACTTTTTATTTGCAACCGAGCTATAATGCACTTTTTCCCCTAAATAAAAATGCAGTATAGCCGGTCACCTAAAGAGTTTTTTATTTAATTAAGAAAATGCAGATTAACCCAAACTAACCCTTCCGTATAGTGCTAGTCTTAGTACTAGTAGTCTGCATAAGTGAAATACTGTTTATTTTTAACCAACCTCTTTACCCCCTAATAGCTATTTATGTACCAAGGGGATTATGTAGATTATAATGCCCGAAGGCGAAACTAGCCCGAGGGCCTATGGCCCGAGGGATATATTTCGCCTGAAGGGCATTATAATCTTGAAATCCCCGTGGTGCATACAATGCTTTATTTTCTACTCAACACAATGTTTTTTCATCAATTTGTTATTAACAAAATCAGTTAAACTTGTGTGACAGAATATTGTTTTGTATTTTGACATGTACCTGTACCTGTGACCTGTACCTGTACCTGCGACCTGTACATAGAAACGAAATACATTAATATATCTATAAACATCTCATAAGGCAAGGCAACGGTGGTGGTCCTGTGGGTTAACGCGCTGGACTACATGGGAAACATTGATGGTAGACCGGGTTCGAATCCTGGCTAGACCGAAAATTATTTTCGGTCAGACATTTAGTGGCTGCCTAGGGTAAAGTGCAAATTAATAGAACAACAACAACAAAAACACCTTAAGGTATTATAAGCGGGCGTTATAGATCATAACGCCCGCAAAAGCGGGCGTTATGGATCAGGTTGTTATAGGTGTGTTAACGTATTTCGTTTCCTAGGTATTATGGATCTATAATAGTAAAGTAGAAAATAAATAAATATGCAGTTGTTTTGTCTGGTTTTATTAAATAATAATCCACTTTATTTAAGCATCATTGACTATTTATTTTAAGCTTTTACAGGTTTTTTTAAATAGGGAGCTAAATGCGGTCTTTTGATACCTCCGCCAAAATCTATCAACTGTCATAATGATCAAATGTCATTCATTGTCCGTTTGCGCTCTTCTTCTTCCTCTTTTTAAAATAACTGGCCTTAACACTAAACTATATGATAAATTACATATACATAACACGTTTTTTTTTTATTTATAATTTTTTTTTTTTTTTTTATATGGTTAAAGTTGTTATAAACTAGTTTGAGGTAATTAAAAACTAAGTTGCAAATTAAGAAACATCAGAGTCAGAATCTGCCTTTAAATTTACTTCATAATCATTCAAGTATGAAGGAGGCCTTCTGTTTCTTTTATTTAACGTGTTTCCAAAAGAATGTTCAGACTGTGATGCCTCTTGCATATTTGTATCAGAATTATCAGAGTTTCCTGATTGAAGACAGTCATCAAACGATTCATTACTTTCTGAGTCACTATCACTCTCTAAATCAAAATTAGGATAACAAAGATCTCTATTGAGCATATCATTATCATCATGAGCATTCTCTGGCTCAGGATTCAAATTAATATCCAAATTATCATTCATAAATAAGTCTACATCATAAAGTTGAGAGTCATTGTTAATATAGGGCAAGTTTGTTTTATTCAAGAACTTTCTATTTCTTCTAAGTAATAATCCTTTCGAATCTTTAACTAAATAAGACCTATCATTAACAATATCTTCCACCTTACCTTGTTCCCACACTTTTCCTTTTTGTATTAGGACATTTTCGCCTTTTTCTAATTTTGGCAGATCTTTAGCATTTCTATCAAAAATTAGTTTTTGAGTTTGTTGTTTAGTTTCTAATTTATTTTGAATGAGAATTGGATCCAAAATTATAGGCTTTAAACTTTCAGTTGAAGTGGGGATTTTAGTCTTTAGTATTCTGTGTAAGAATAATTGGGCAGGGGAATAAGTCATGTTTGGTAATGGGGTAGTTCGGTATTCCATGAGAAGTGAATGTAGGTCTTTTTTGTTACCAGCTTTTCTAAGCATCTCTTTCACTATACCAACAGAACGCTCAGCTAACCCATTTGATTGGTGATGGTGGGGACTACTGAATCTAACTTCAAAGTTCCATTCTTTGGCAAAGTTTTTAAAAGTCACTGAATTGTATGGAACATTATCTGCAAAAAATATGTCAGGTACACCAAATTGAGAGAATTTATCTTTACAAAAACGGATAACATCAAGAGCTGTTTTAGTTCTAGTCTCAGATACTTCAATCCAATTCGAATAAGAATCTACAATCAATAAGTAATTCCTATTTTCATACTCAAAATAATCACTAGAGAGGTATTGCCATGCCCTTGTAGGTAATGGATGATTTATTAGAGTTTCTTTCTGATTTGATTTTTTATTTACTTGAAAAGTCTCACAATTTGATATAAATGTCTGGATGTCTCTGGCTAAACATGGCCAATAGAAAATTTGTCGAGCTCTGTTTTTGGACTTTTGTATTCCAAAATGTGGTTCATGTATTAAAGAAATCATTTGCTGTCTAAGTTTCTGTGGCACTATTATTTTTGTTTCTAGAAATAGTAAATCATTGGACAAATATATTTTATCTTTCAATTTGAAATAGAATTTTAATTTGTTATCTAGGGCGTTGTCATTTTCAGGCCAATTAGTCAAACAATAGTTTTTAACTTGTTTTAGGGTCTCATCGTTGTCAATGGTTTTTTTAAATAATAGTAGATTATACCACAAGTCAATAATGATAGCTATTATTCCCGAGGATTATTACGAACTGAGCCGCTAGGGAGTAACATTCCGAGGGAATAATAGCCATTATTGCGAGTAGTATACTCTACTTTATTTACGACAAATTAATTTATTTGAGATTTTCAATGAACAAATTTCATCCGTCTCATAATTTTCAATACAAATCCACAAGCACTACACGTTTGACACTGACACTTTTGTGGAATAATGACCATTAATCCCGCTACTCGTCATTAATCCCTGGAGGAATAACATATGTCATTATACTGCCAAAATCACAAATATAATACGCACATTATACATAGGAATATTATTATAGAGTGAATGTATTATATACTCCATTTCTGGATCATCATCAACTGGTTTTTTTATGTAAGAACGGGATAAAATGTCAGCAACAAGCATGTCTCTTCCAGGCAGGTACTCAATATGTATTTCATACTTTAACAATCTTAGCATCATTCTTTGAAGTCTGTTACTAATCTTATCCAAATGACGAATGAAAATAGGAACTAATGGTTTATGATCACTCTGTACTACTACAGGATGTCCGTAAACATAATAGTGGAATTTTTCAAATGAAAAACAAATGGCTAACAGCTCCTTCTCGATGTGTGCGTATCTTTTCTCTGACTTGGTCAAAGTTCGTGAAGCAAAAGATACTGGATGTCCTTCTTGCAATAATACACATCCGAGACCTTCACTGGAAGCATCACATTGTATCGTCATGTCTAATTTAGAGTCAAATATCTTTATCGTAGGGGAATGTGTGATTAAATATTTTAATTTATCAAGTTCTTCATCATGAGTTTGAGTCCATTCAAATTTTACATCTTTTCTAGTTAGGTTTCTTAAGTTTGCTGTCATAGCTGACAGATTGGGAATAAATTTCGAGAAGAATTTGACTAAACCCAAAACTCTCAAAACATCTGTCTTATTTTTAGGGGCTTCTATAGCACTAATTGCTTCTATATTGTCTGTGTCAGGTTTTACTCCATTAACTGAAATTAGAAGGCCCATAAACTTTACTTCAGGGAGCTTAAATTGAAATTTTTTAAAATTGAATTTTACATTATTAGTTTTAGCAATTTCAAAAATCTGCTGCAAAGATCTCTCATGTTCTTGCACATTACTTGAGGCTATAATCAGGTCGTCAAAATAAATGTTTACATCTTCTATTTGACCAAAGAGTTCATAACTTTTTCTTTGGAAGAGTTCTGGCGCGCTTGAAATAACAAATGGCAAACGATTAAATTTATAACGCCCAAACGAGGTATTGAAAACACATAGATCTGAACTTTTTTTGTTTAATTTCAGCTGCCAAAACCCATTCTTCATATCTATAACGGTGAATATAGTTTTGCCTGTCAACCTACTAATTATATCTGTGCTAGTCGGAATCATGAAATGCTCTCTCTTTATATATTTGTTCAAAGGTTTAGGGTCAATACAGATTCGAAGTGATTTATCTGGTTTTTCGGTGATCATTAAGCTGTTAACCCAATCCGTAGGATAGTTCACTTTTTCTATTATGTTTTTCTTCTCTAAATTTTCTAAAGTTGTTTTCAAAATGTCATGAATAGAAAAAGGAACCTTCCTGTTGCATTGTATTACAGGTTTTGCATTTTCCTGTAATTCAATATTGCAGAATCCTGGAATTTCCCCCAAACCTTCAAAAATGTCCTTGTATTTTGTATAAATATCATCTTTTGTTTTAAATGTCTGTAAACTATCTACTCTTTTTATCAACTGAAACCTTAAACAATCTTTCAAGCCTAGAAGTGGTTCAGCATTAAAATCAACTATAATAAAATTTATGTATGAAACTACATCCCTGTAAGAACATTCTAAACGTACTTCACCCAAAGGTTTAAACTTGAAATTACCATATGATACTAAAGTAATTGTTGATTTTTTGAGTGAGGGTTTATTTAAAAAAAATTTAAAAATGTTTGACGGTAGAATACTAGTGTCTGATCCAGAGTCAAGTTTAAATTTTACCTTGAGTCCTTGTACTTGGATAACTTCATACCATGAAGAATGTTTCAATGTTTTGCATTCATCTATGTACAAATTATATTCACTTTCATCTTCTTCTTGGTCACTTGTTCGTTGTTCTATATACCTTACTCTTCTACTCGATTTTTGTTCTTCAGGTTTTTTAGCTTCTTGATTGGCTTGGGCTTGATCTCGACCTTTATTTTGTCCAGAAGTACTTGGTGATTCTTTGTTGTTCCGGAAAAAACAAACTTTTGCAAAATGTCCTATTTTTTGCATATTATACACTCCTTGTTTACAGCTGGGCATTTGTCTGGGTAATGTTCATATTGACATTTCTTGCATAAATATTTCTTTGGCTTTTTAATAAAGTTTACATCTTCTTCCTTGCTTAGAACTTTAACATGTTCTTTGCTTAGCTCAATACTTTTGCAATAATCGACTATTTTCTTGATTGTTAGGTCTGTCTCTCGTAGAAGTCTCAACTGGCTTTCTTTGCAATTAATACCTACTATAAGTCTATCCCGAATCATTCTTTCTTCATATGACTCTAGGCACGAGTCTTTGATGCAACAAAATTCACACAATGGGCTCTTTCACTAATTTTTGAAATTGGCATATTTGGATAAAGCAACTAAAAACAGAATTTTCTGTATTTTTACTTTTGAAAAATTCAAAGTCCTTCTTGAGAAAACAGAAAACAAAGAAATACCTCCAAATAAAAACCCAGAATTTATTTCTATGACGTCGCAGCTCGCAATTTGACCGTGTTGCCACTAATTGTCAACATTGAAAATTTGTAATAGATTTAATTCTGAAATGTTGGCAAAATCTCATGAAAAGTAGTTAAATTAATTAGTTATAGATTCAAGATTTTATAACATTTTTTTTTTAAATTATGCTTAAATACAATTTAATGCAATTTTTTATGTTTAGTTTTATTTATTTATTTTACGCTGCACTACATTTAGTCACAACCGACAACAGCGCATTCGAACCTTTACGTATCTTTACAGAGCGCAAACACAGCCGAGCCCTTCCTCCTTGCAACGACATAAGCGAAATGAAGAATATTTATGTGACGTCGGCAAATCGGCGCGTTTTAAAATAGTTTGAATTTAGGCACTTTTGATTGCCTATGAAAAACTTATTGAACCTTGTAGAACATTTTTTTTTTGGTATATATGCCTAAAATAGTCCCTCCTTTGAGATTTTATACTTAAATTACGTATTTAAATTTTAGTGAAAGAGCCCATTATTCCTCAGCAACATGGCTTCTGTGCAAATAGGTCAACTGTCACTAATCTCAGTATTTTTTCTGAATATGTAAGCAGTCATTTGGAGATTGGATCTCAGACGGATGTTGTGTATATTGATCTAGCGAAAGCCTTTGACAAGGTTAACCATGCTGTGCTTGTCAGAAAATTTGAATCCTTTGGTTTTGATTCAAATCTTATTTTATACTTGAAGTGTTACTTGTCGGACAGATGTCAGTGTGTAAAGTTTAACAATGCCATATCAAATAGGTTTGTTGCTACCTCTGGTGTCCCTCAGGGCTCTATCTTGGGACCTCTTCTGTTTGTCTTGTTTATCAATGATATATCTAGATGTATTGAATACTCACAATTTTTACTTTATGCAGATTTCAATTTCAATTTCAATTTATTCAATAATAGTTAACAGTTTCATGATTATAAACATAATAATGTACTTAAAACTATTTAATTATATGAGGCAAAAAAAAAACCCCTAGGTGCTGTGGCACCTGTATGGGCTCGATATTATATAATAATAATATGTTACAGGAGTGAATATCTATTGAAATGAGAAACAATTAACAGACAACCAAAAAAATACAATAAACTGATAACCTATCCAAACTTTAACAGTGTGATGTTACAAATTTTCATATCTATAACATATCATCCACAAGATAAATGATGGATTACCGACTAAATACAATGACAAACTGGTCATACTGTTCCACTATAAAACTCTTTGCCAATTTAGAAAAATGTCTAGCGCTTGAGCACCTATTGCTATGGGGCAACAGGTTATACATTTTTGGACCCAGGTATCTAGATGATTTAAAAATTTACAATTCAGTTCAAAAAGAAACAGACTGTCAACTCTTACAAAAAGATTTGAATGCTGTTGTATCATACTGTCTCAACAATGACTTAAAACTAAATATTAGTAAATGTAAGTGTTTAAGCATTTTTCGGAGCAAGACTCCTGTCATAACACAATACAGAATTAATGATTCAGCGTTGGACAGGGTTCAGGAAATGTCTGATCTGGGAATACTGTTCTCTGAAAGTTTCTCGTTTGGTGGACACATTGATGGTTTGTATGCAGCTGAGTTTCGTACTGCGCTCCTGTGCAGACTTCAGAATCCCAAAGACTTACACACTACTTTTTAATGCATATGTAAGATCAAAACTGGAATATGCCAGTATAATATGGAACACTACAACAATGTATCATAAAAACATGCTGGAGAAAATCCAAAAAAGGTTTCTGAGGTTTATGTTTTTTAGGAAGCATGGATTTTATCCTTGTTATCCTCGTCTCATCTCGTATAAATCCCAACTTGATGAATTTGGTATTGTAGAACTTAAGAGGCGTAGGGAGTTTAATGATGTATTGTTAATATTTAATCTAGTCAACCAAAACCAAAGCGTAAAAACTTCTGTACCTGATTTACTTCATAAGATATGTTTTAATGTACCAGATATAAGGCTGAGGCGGAGAGATAATATTTTTAAGATTTCTAACCGTAACTCTGTTTCTCTTTTGAATAGATGTTTGCATGGTGTCAATGTGTTTGTTACAGAATTTCCCGATTTTGATATTTTTGTTGACGGAAGGGAAAAACTACTAATGTGTTTTTATTAAGTAGGTTTATTTTATGTTATTTTAAATGTTTACTGTGCATAATTTTAAGGATTCAATGTTAATCTGTTTTTATGTGCAGTTTAAATAAAATTCTTTTTTATTTTATTTATTATTTAAATTCTGCACGATATAAACGTTGAGCTGTGACTATCGAATCACCATTGCGATAATAAGCGCGTATGCAAAAAGCACGATGGTTTCCCGGGTACGCTTCCATGGTTAAAAAATCTCCAGAGAGTACTGCACCAGCCTATTCTCACTCGCCCCTCCCACCCTCGCCGTTACCTGGGAAACGCAGATACAAATACCCCCTACCCTTTCTGGACACCTTGTACTTGACATATTTCTTTGCAATTTCATTGTGTGATGTTGCCGAATAAAACATTTATCAAAATAAAAGTACCATCGATGTTAACATACACTTTAAAGCTCTTCTTTTGTCTGATTTAAGGCGTTGTAAAACACTTGACAATATATCACTTCTTTAATGTTATAATGTTCAATTTGTATTGTCTACATTTGTTTGCAAAAATACAAACTGGCTACACTGCAACCACGGGTTGCGCGCGCATGTCTTTTTTTATTTCTTTCTAACTTGTATTTATTACAATTAATCTCTCTTTTTCTATTTCTGCGAGACACGTCAATTGGGTATAACTTTTAATACAAATATGTCATTTATTTACTATCTAGTAACTACAATACAGAATGTACAGAGAATAATGGAATTTGTGATAAGAAATACCAAAAATTTTAGCATTGATGTAAGCCTTGAGCTCTTTGACACTTTAGTACTCCTTAAACTAGAGTATAATAGTATTATATGGTCACCATAGTATAATGTATAAATTTTATTTATTGAGGGAGTACAGAGGAAATTTCTTATGTTTTTCAAGGAGTTTGGTTTCTATCCTCAACAGGGCTGTGATAATAGAATTTTATTACGTATGTTCAATAGGATGCCTTTGGAATGTCGTAGAACAGGAGCATGTTTGAGTACTATGTTTAGGTTTAAAAAGGGAAATATTGACAGTCCTGATATTTTTGGTGAATTACCGTTTGTAGTAAATAGAGTGAACGTTAGAGATGAGAAAGTTTACAGTATACATGAATATTTGTCTAATAATTTTAGTGATATCACCTAATTACTATTTTCCTCAAAATCTTTTTTTTTTTGACTTGTGTAAAACTTTTGTTATGGTGCCAATAAATATTTTGAATTTGTATTTGTATTTTGCATTCTGCTACAACATTCGATTAAAAATAGAATATACAAAAAGGAACCTACTTGCTGTTGGGGTGGAACCATAACGGCAGCACTAGGCGTTTGAGTGGTGGGCAAAACGGCAGCCGTTCTCAACTGTTGTGACATTGGCCTGATGCTGGCTAAAGGTGGTTCTCCGACGTTGCGCCACGGTTGAATCGGCACCGATTGAGTTTGAGTGTTAGTAGAATGACCTAAAATAAAACGATATTTTCAACAAACAAACAAGACAAGACAAGCAACAATTCCTACAATAAAATCACAAAAAAAAAAAACAAATTCTTACCAGGAATAGGCTTGATATCAGCAGTAGGCCTCTCCATGGAAGACTTGTCGCTCGACATCATGGCCGAACTGCAGCTGTTCGGTTTCAATTTCAACGCCTCCAATTCTTGCGCTCGCGCAAGTTTTTCTTGCTGCAACTTTTCTTGCAGCGCCTCCTTTTCTTGCTCCAGTTGCTGGATTTTCTCCATTAGGTCATTATCTTTATTTCCATCGGTATTAACACTAACTCCGACAGAGTTGCTACTACTCGTGCTAGTCATGGCGCTATCCTTTACTTGCTTATCTACTTCTTCTAACAAAGCAGTATTTTGTTCGGTCAGAGTCACTATGCGCTCTTTGGCGCTTTTGAATAGTGATTTAAATTTATCCTCTTTCTCTTGGCTCGATTGTTTTAGAGCTTCCATTTCTTTTGTGAAATTTTGCTCTTGTTGCTCTTTATCAAGTTTTAACTGTTCCAGCGCCTCTTTATGAGAAATTTCGAGCTGACTGAGTCGATCCTCCAACCCTACTTTTTCCAATTCCAGCTGTTTCTCCATAGTTGACATCTGCTCACTTTGTTGCTCCTTCATAATCTCAATTTCTTTCACTTGCTCTTCGTACTGAGTCTTGTACTTTTTGGCGATTTTCTTAACTTGGGCTAAATTGTTTTTCAGTTCTGTTACAGAAGTCTCCTTCACGGCCAGCTCCTCTGAAAATAATCGATTGTCCTCAGTTAACTTAGCGTTTGTTTTATTAACCTCATCGCGATTTTCTTGAACTTGTTTCAAATTGCTTCCCAACAATGCCACTTGCTCCTTAAGCCTAGAAACTTCCTCTACGAGCCCGTGATTCTGCATTTTCAATGATTTAACTTCCTGTTCCATTTTGTCCAACCTAGCTTTTAATGTTGCATTATCCTCAGTTAGTTTCGCATTATTTCCTCGCTCAATTGTCAATTGTTTGGCCAAAGTTTCACGTTCAGTTTGGAGTTTCTTCCAATCCTCAGGACTGGTCCGGTTAGTTTTTTCTATAAGCAGATTCGCCCTTTGACGCCATCTGGTACATTCGGCTCTCAACGAAATATTCTCGGTTTGCATTTGATCAGCTTTTTGCATTAAATCGCGATTATTTTCTTGTAAGGGCGCAATACTGACTTCCAATTGTTCAGCTCTGGCCTGTAATTTTCGAATGTCGTCAGCCAAAGCATCTCGTTCCTGCCTCAAAGAACGATTGCTGTCAGCAACAGCATTAAATGTCTCCATCTGCCGTAAAACTTCAGCATGCTTGGCAGCAGTAACGTTTTTAATCTCACTCTTTTGACGTTCAGCTTCATATAGGCTTTTAGCTTCTTGTAGCTGTTTTTGGACAGCTTCAAACTGGGATTTCAAGCGGAAATGTTCGGCTTCAATCACATCCGCTTTACTTACAGCCAAGTCTTTTTCCTGTCGTAAATACTTTAGGATTGTTAATAATTGGTTGCTGTCGGCCGAATCTTCAATCAATGACGAATTGGCGGACGAATTATGATCAGCTTGTCCTTGGATGATGGTCAATTGCCTGTTTAATGCCTCGATTTGATCGAGCAGTAGAGTGTTTTGTTCGTCCATGCTCTTAAACCTAACCTCCAATTTTTCCTTTTCAGAGTTCAATATAGCCGTTTGCTCCTCTTTGCTCAATAAATATTCCTGCAAATTGTCCACAGCCTCTTTCCTTTGCTGATCCATAACTTTGTATGAATCTTTGGCCGCCTGCAATTCCTGTTTTAAATTTTGCAACAATTGCAAATCGCTCGAGTGTAGCGCCACCTCTCGGGCATATTTGTGTTCGGAGGCTTTCAATTGCTCACTGAGAAGCTTCAGATCACTTTTGGCCAGTTCCAATTGTTCTCTGGTTTGTTTTAAAGTTAATGATTGGCCATGAAGTTCTTCTTGCAACTGTTGTTTTTGGTTCTTTATGTCGGCACTGTTTATGTCTTGGTCATCCATTTGTATGCTCAATTCCGCTTGTAATTCACCTAGTTTATCTGTCAAACGTTGCACTTGTTGTTCTTTTTCAGATATTGTCTGAACATATTTTTCGTTTTCGAGTGATAAGTCTTTGAGTTGCTTCTCAGCATTTTGAGCAATGTTGAAGTAATTCTCGGACGCTTCTTTTGTGGATTTCAGTTTGAGTTTCAGCGAATTTACCTCTGCTTGGCTGTCAGCGAGTTGTTGCTCAATTTCTCGTAGCTTGCGGCTTTCAACGCTGACATCCTGGATTTGGAATACTGAACTTTTGAGTTGTTTCGACAAGTTTTCAATGTGTGCAGTTTTATTGGACAATTCCTGTCTAGTCTCGGTCAATTCTTGGCGAAGTTTGTCCGCTTCAATTTTGTTTTCTTCCATACGCTCCTGGGCATGCTTAGTGGCTTTCTCCAAATGCTGCGTCAATTCCCTAAAGTGATTTTGCTCCTCTTCTAATCTTCTACGTAAAGCGGAACATTCTAAATGTGCTTCGTCTAGTTTTGATTCCAAGCGCAGCTTACTCTCAGCTTCGTTTCGTTCTAGAGTGGCTTTGATCAGTTCAATGTTGCTTGTGATTAAGTTTTGTTGCTGTGTGTGTCTGCGTAGCATTTCACTTTCTCTAGTCAGGCGTTTTTCGGCGTCCCGAAGCAGAGCGTTCTCTTTTGTGATGTTTGCCAACTGCACCTCAGCTACGCTGGCTCTGGTTTGATTCTTGAGCGCGTCTTCTTTCAAATAACTGGCCGATTGTTCGTGTTTAATCAGCGCTTCGCTATAAATTTTGTTTTGTTTTTCTAGAGCTTGAATTTGTTTTTTATAAACTTCCGTATTATTCTGGAATACTTTGAATCTTTCCTCATTGTACTCTGATTGCGAGGCGAGTTTTCCGTTGGCTTTTTGCAGCTCTTTGGACTCATTTCTTATCGTTTCGATCTGTTCGAGAATAATTTTCTCATGTTCGAGGCGTTCTTTCCGGTACTGATCGTACTCCTCTTTCGCTTGGTCCAGTTGTTTTTTGTATTTTTCGATTTGCTGCCTCAACTCGTGCACTTCTTCATCAGACTTGGAATCAGATTGGGACTTTGTGTTAGAGTCGTCTTGGTGACGCATATTAGGGAAGCTTCTCTCGCTGAGATCACCACCGGCACCTAACATAAATAAATAATAATATAAGAACAGAGAAGGGAAGCTGAGTATTGTAAGTGTTTATTGTATCGCTTACAAAATTAATTTCTTATAGGAATACATTATGGACATATGAAATTTTGTAAAATATTAAAGAAAATGTCGCAGACACAGTATTCTTAATAACATCGTGCATCAAAATGGTTAGCAGTAGAGGATATTATATACTTCTCTGTGTGACAGTCTAAATGATGTGAACTATCGATAGTGAAGAATTCTCGGGCTGGATGTGCTTGCAAATAAAGTTGATTGTTCTAAGAGGATCACTCTCTGATTGTATGGTTTTGAGGAGAATCAGAAATATGATGAACATAGGTTTTGGCGCAGATACAGTAGAATGGAATAAAAGTTTTTTGACGGGTCATCATCAGTCTGTGAAACTGGGTTCTTTTCAGTCTGACTTGATCACAGTTACCTCGGGCGTTCCTCAAGGAGGGCACTGTTCACCTCTGTTCTTTGATTTGTTTGTTGACTCTATTTTCGAATGTTTTCAGAATAGTGATGGTCTAGCTTTTGCTGACGATTTTAAAGCTTTTAAGATCATAAGTAACATAGAAGACCAACAATTACTGCAGGATGATCTAGATAGATTAACAAACTGGTGTTCAGTTAATAAATTAAGCTTAAATATAGGTAAATGTTGTCAGATGAGTTTTTATAGGGGAAGGAGGAAATTCAACTCTTCATATTCATTAAATGGGGAAGTTCTAAATTACGTTTCAAAAATAAAAGATCTGGGTGTAATTTTTGACGAAAATCTAACCTTTGTTGATCATATAAATACAATAACAGTTAAATCATCAAAAATGCTAGGCTTTATATTAATAAACTGTGCATGCTTCAGTGTTGATATTGTAAGAGGTGTCTATTGCTCTTTGGTCAGGTCCTCTCTGGAGTATGCTTCAATAGTATGGTGTCCCTATCAAGATGTTCATGATTATACAGTAGAAAAAATTCAACACAAGTTCTTGCGTTATTGTGCTTTTAAATTAAGGGTTGCAATACAGGACCATAATTATACCTATATAGAAAATAGGCTTAATTTAAATGCTCTAAAAGAGTGAAGAATTTTCTCTGGCTTAACATTTATTCATGGTTTAGTAAATAGCAAAATAGATTCTCTTGATTTGTTACAATGCTTAAATATTGAAATAGCTAAAAGAAATAGAAGACAAGAATTTTCGTCATTCTTTATTCCATTCCACTGTACAAATTATGGCTACAATTCTCCAATAGATAGGTACTGTAGGCTTATTAATAATTATCATTTAGAAATTTTTGATACCTCTCTAGGAAATTTTAAAAAGAGCATGGCTAGATTATAATTCTGGTTTTGTAAATTTCTATATACCTAGTTAAGGATTTAGTTTAGTGATAAATCAGTCTATTTAACATAACAAATTTTGTCAATTGTAAACTGTAAAATGGGGTTATCCCGTCAATAAATAAATAAATAAATAAATAAAATAAATAAATGATTTGAAAACCGTCCTGAAGTTTTTTTCTGGTAAGCTTATGATACCTTGCTCACCTCATGTCGTTGACTCCTCTATATTTTGCGTTGGAAAAAAATCTGAAGATCGACCGCCAGCAATTCCAATAATTGATAATTAACTTTGCAAGTTTTTGTTTTAAATAGATTTTCTCTATGAAAACCTAGTTAAAGGGCTTGGGTCCTATTATATTTGAAGACCTAAACATCTTGTAGACACAAAAAAATTGGATTTCTCAAGAAAATTCATGGAAAGGACAAGATATTGTCCTTTGGAGGCGTGGATGGATCTGGAAAGAAAGGCACCTTTATAATCGTGCTAAGTCTATATACACGCATACTCGTACACAGATAGGTAGGTATGTTGTGGTTAGATTTTTTGCTGTGTTACCTAAATATTAATTTTTAACCATATTTTTCCTACAACTGCCTCTGAAAATGGAGTTTTTCACACGCTAAGCAACCTCTGAAATAGAGTTTCTAGTTTTTCACATGCTGCTATTAGTTTTTTATTTATTTTAGTACTAATATCCTGACATGACATGACATAAATTGCGATTAACACCAATTTTTGATGTAACTTTGTTGTTGTTTGATTTGTTTTCTAACAAATAAAAATAACATATTTGGTTGTTTTATTTTGCAGTGCATTGTGAAAAACTCGTTTCAAAATCTTTATTTACACTTGCTGGACTTGTGGAACTTGCCTATGTCGCGGCCCAACAAACTGTCTCGGCCGTGCGAAAAAGTTCGTTTTCAAAACTTGTTTAAATAACTATTCTGCTCTTGAAGTATAACTAGGAAAATATTTGGCTTGTTTTCCTTTGTTTTTTTTTAAACTTCGTCCCGTGCACCTCCTTAGCAGTATGTATATTAAGAAAGGACTAATCGTTATGTGGGTGCTTTTCGCATCAGAGTTCAGTTATTTTTAAATAGTTGTTTTTTGCTTGTTGATTGGCGTACTGCACCAGCTCAATGAATAAACTTCAATTCAAAATTGCTAATTTACTGGATTTTATGAATTTAAAACTTTGACTAATGATAGTGATTTTGATCTTGTCTTTCTGAGATATGGCTTTTCGAAACTGAAGATATCCTTACTGTTTCAATTCCGAATTATCGTTTCTTTCGTAAAGATAGAGTTGGCAGGGGTCATGGCTCGTGGAGTAGCCGCTTATATTAATGATAATCTCTTCCCTGAGTCAGTGAATTTAAAATTAAATTTTCAGTTTTGTCATCTGTTATACAATTAACAGTGTGTTGAATTTTCACACAATTTATTTATTTATTTATTTATTAACGTATCAACAAGTTTACAAGTTAACTTAAACTAACTAACCTAAAATAGCCCTTTTTGCACAACTCTTAAATTTTTTATGGGAAACATTGAAGAATTCTAGTGACTCACAAAACTTATTCACATTCGCTGATCCTCTGTTAACAGGACTATACAATAAGTACCAAGAATTGCAAATTGGTATATGCATCAAGGTCTGCCTACGTGTTGGATATCCAGGTATACGAACTCGAAAAGTTTCCAAACATTCTGGACTCTTGATATGGTGGTTTAGAACATTAAATGCAAAGCATATGTCATAGTATTCTCTTCTGAGAACAAGAGATGCTAAGTCTAGGTATAACATAGTCTGATCATTTCAAGTTCAATACCATTGCAAAAAAGTTTATATTTAGCATATTTTATAAATTTATTTACGACTGACATACAGGGTGTCCGGTAAGTATATGGCATACTCTCGGGAGCGTATAGGAGGGGTCAAAATAACCCTACTTTGTTCTAAAAAAAAATTCCTAGTGCCCCTTAACGGAGATACAGAGCCCCAAAAGAGTACATGGCGATCCACCTTTTTGACTCTAACTTCTGAACCAACTTGTATAATTTAATGAAGTTTTGATATTTTATGTTGGCCATAAAGATTCATAAAATCATCCTACAGTGGATGTTTCACATACTCTGGGAAGTCAGGAACGGACTTGCCACCATATTCATTTTGCCAAATTTTTGACAGGAGTCATTTTACACAGCTGAAAAGTGATTTTCTAATTACTTTGGTCATTTTTCTTCTAAAAAGGTATTCTACATTTGTTTCGATTAAATTAGCCGTTTCCGAAAAAATTAGGTTTTTGTATAACACCTTCGATCATTTATCTTCGAAATTTATTTAATAATCAAGTCGATCCTAGATTAAGAAAAAATAGGTAGAAGTTGACTTATAAAAAGTACCTGAAACCGACCCTTTTTGCCATATAAAGTTACCTTTTATAAGTCAACTTCTACCTGTTTTTCTTAATCTAGGATAAACTTAATTATTAAATAAATTTCTAAGGTATATGATTGAAGGTGCGTATACAAAAACCTAATTTTTTCGGAAACGGCTGATTTAATCGAAACAAATGAAGAGCACCTTTTTTGAAGAGAAATGACCAAAGTATTCAAAAAATCAGTATTCAGCTGTGTAAAATGACTCCTGTCAAAAATTTGGCACAATGAATATGGTGGCAAGTCCGTTCCTGACTTCCCAGGCTATGTGAAACATCTGCTGTAGGATGATTTTATGAGTCTTTATGGCCAACATAAAATATCAAAACTTCATTAAATTATAAAAGTCGGTTTGCCACGCTTTTTCGTTGATTAAGAAAAGTTCATAAAAAAAAAAAAAAAAATTTAGAAAAATAAATTTAAAAAAAAATTAAAGTCGAGAATAAAAAAAATAAAAAAAGTAAAATAAAAATAATGAAAATAAAAATAAAAATAATTGAATGAAGAACTTGAGATTGTAAGACTGAAGGTCGAAGTGCGTGCAAATTAAGCCCTAGCTCAGAACTAAATAATTCGGAGAGTAGGGGTGGGTTTTAGTTTTGGGCGCCACCGACTCTGAACAGATGAGTCGGACTCTCCAGGATGGTATCTGGCTTCAGGTCCTTACAATCCAAATAATAATTAATAAAAATAAAAATATTAGCAAAAACCAGGCTGTGTGCATAAAACCAAATAAAAGTCAATTCAAATCAAGTGCTACAGTCGTTTATTTATCAAATGGCCGCAGTCCACAATGAACAATAATTTGAATTCAAGAGGGGAAAAAAAAAATAATAATAATAATCAAGTAAATTAGCAATTAATAAAATGACCTTGTCAAGAAGCGTTAACTAACAAATACAGAAATGCAATACTATAATTGCTATAGTCATGAACAATTAAATTTAAATGCAAAAATATGTTATTGAAACTCAATAACCCAAATGAATAATAAAAAAAAAAGGTATAAATAGAAAAGTTGCAAAAAAAAACAATAAATTAATGACTAATAAGTTGGAGCGGTTATTTTACACTTACGTAACCAGAACTACCAGTAAGTTGACATTAATTCAACAGGTTACGTCTAGTTAAGTTACCTATTTTAATAATTCATTTACCACACAGGGGCCAGCAATAAATTATTCCCTGAAATA